TGTGAGTTGATACCTTGTTAAGGTTCTGATTGACATTTCTCTGATGGTTAGTGATGTTGAGCACCTTTTCATGTACCTGTTGGCCATTTGGATATATTCTTTGGAAGAATGTCTGTTCAGGTCCCTTTCCCATTTTGAAATTGAACTAGTTGGTTTTTTGCTGAGTTGTATGAATTCTTTATATATTCAGATATTAACCCCTATTAGATACATGATCTGCAAATATTTTTTCCCCTTCAGTAAGTTGTTTTAGTAGGACTATCTCTTGACTCTGCTTCTCTCCATGAGTCTACTTCATTCTTCATTTTGTGGACCAGTTCTCTCTCTTCTCCTGTCTGCTACGTCCACAGCAAAAAAATATGCCCATTAAATAGCCATTCCTAGAGAACTCATCTGCATTCTTATTCCTACTCTCCATCCCCTGTGCCTCTCTCTTCTCTTCTTCATGTCCTCCACATTTCTTGGTTCAAATCTCTGACTAGTCCATCTTGGGTCAGCAGCCTACCCTTGGTCCGATCAACTATGGCTAGTGGGATGGAGTCACGTTCTATAAACAAGACTCTAGGCTTTGATTGCCGTGGATGAAAGGAAGGGGAATCCATGTAAGAAATTAAAGATGTTGCTGTGTACTGTGCAGCTATTTTCAAAGGTGACATGGATCAAAATAACATGAGAATGAAAGACTCTTTATCATGAAAAAATTTTCAACACATGTGAAAACAGAGCCATTAATATAATGAACCTCCCCATCACCCAGCTATGGATATTTACTCATATAAGCACAATGGTATTACTACGCCTAACAAAATCAATATTTCCTTGGTTTCATCTACTATCCTGTCAATATTTAAATTTCCCCAATGGCAGGAAACGTTTTTGTATTTGTTTTTTTCAAACCAGGATCTAAACAAGATCCTCACGTTACATTGGTTTTATGCCTCATAAATCTCTTTTCACATAGAGCCATCTCCCCCCACCCACTCTCTGACTCAGTTTTTATGATGTCGACCTATGAAGAAACCATGTTAGTTGTACCTACTGAATGTCCCACATACTGGATTTTGTCTGCTTCCTCATTATGGTCTCACAAATGGAATTTAGTTAAAAAGCCTTGATTTATTTCAAGTTCAACATGTTTTGAAAGTACACTTCATAGTGAGGCTGTGTGTTTCCTGCTGCTTCAAGTTCATGATCATTCAATGTCTAGTTGTCCCACTCTTAGGTTATGCTGACTGATCAGTGGGTTCAGGTAGCAACAGCTTGATTTCTTCCTTGTAAAGGTCATTATCAAACATTTGCCTAAAATTTTCACCCATTGACTACTTTTGCCTGAATTATTTATTTCATTAGGTATGACAAAATGGAAGCGAGATAATTCTATCGGGCGGTGGCGGGGGTGGGGTCAAGTGCCTATGTACCTTTCCTCGGTATTGCCAGATTCTCCTCCGTTGGAGGTGTACCATCTTGTATTCCAACCAACAATGTACAAGATAGTATTATTATATTTCACTCCAGCATGACCAACCCAGTATATTTTCAAATCTCTGATCTTCACTGATATGATAGGTGAGAAATGTTACCTCAGGGTGGATTTAATTGGCATTTCTATGATGAGTGAGGATGAGGGGACTGGATTTTGGGAAAGAAAAAAAAAAAAGGCAAGAAGGCCCCAGTGATGATAAAGATTTTGAGCATGCACCAACTTATTTCCTCACTTTGGCCAAAAAATATCCTCACACCAGGCTTGGTACCCAGTTTCCTCTTTTATCAGTAAAAATTCTTTCCTCCCCTGTCATAATGCCTAGGAAATTCAATAGCACATGGCCCAAGATAAATTAGGATTTGCAAGCATAGCTCTCTGGTAACAAGTTTCTTGATGAATGTCACTGCATTACACCAACAGCAGAGCAGTGGGATTTCCAAAGAAGAACAAAAATCTGCCCAAGGAATTTCAATGTAAGACAAATTCCCATGAGTAGGTGGACAGCTTAAGCAAAGCAGCAAGACTGAATAATCTCCTTAAGCATTAAGAGAAGTAAGGATGAATCATGAGCACATAGTTCCTATTTTTATAAATATGTACTTGAGATACGTAGCAAGTCCTATAGATATTTGAATAATGCAGCTGCATACAGAGAGAAATTCACATATAGTTTACACCAATTGCCATTGTACAGTAGTGATTGTGGGAGTTAAGTAAATGTGATCCAATTGGATTACAGATGTGTTCACATGGCTTATCCTGTCTGAAATTAATTAATTAACAATATGTAGATGGTTTGATTGCTCAAAAAGGCCTTGGAGCATATGAAAAAGTGTTCAACATCACTCAGCATCGGGGAAATACAAATCAAAACCATAATGAGATATCACCTCACACCAGTCAGAATGGCCAAAATTAACAAGTCAGGAAACGACAGATGTTGGTGAGGTTGTGGAGAAAGCGGAACCCTCCTACACTGTTGGTGGGAATGCAAGCTGGTGCAACCACTCTGGAAAACAGTATGGAGGTTCCTCAAAAAGTTGAAAATAGAGCTACCCTACGACCCAGCAATTGCACTACTGGGTATTTCCTCCAAAGATACAAATGTAGGGATCCAAAGGGGCACCTGCACTCCAGTGTTTATAGCAGCAATGTCCACAATATCCAAACTATGGAAAGAGCCTAGATGTCCATCAACAGATGAATGGATATAGAAGATGTGGTATATATATATACACAATGGACTATTACACAGCCATCAAAAAAAATCTTGGCATTTGCAATGACATGGATGGAACTAGAGGGTATTATGCTAATCAAAATAAGTCAATCAGGGAAAGACAATTATCATATGATCTCACTGATATGCGGAATTTAAGAAATCAGGCAGAGGATCATAGGGGAAGAGAGGAAAAAATGAAACAAGATGAAACCAGAGAGGGAGACAAAAGAGACTTTTTTTTAAAGGTTAACTTTTTTTTTTTAAGATTTTACTTATTTGTCATAGAGAGAGAGAGAGAGCACAAGCAGGGGGAACGGCAGGCAGAAGGAGAAGAAGGCTCCCTGCTGAGCAAGGGGTCAATGTGGGATTCGATCTCAGGACCTTGGGCTCATGACCTGAGCCGAAAGCAGATGCTTAACCAACTGAGCCACCCAGGTGTCCCATAAGAGACTCTTAATCTTAGGAAACAAACTGAGTGTTGCTAGAGGGGAGGGGGGTGGAGGGATAGGGTGGCTGGGTGATGGACATTGGGAGGGTATGTATTGTGGTGAGCACTGGTTGTTGTGTAAGACTGATGAATCACAGACCTGTACCCCTGAAACAAATAATACATTATATGTTAATTTTAAAAAAAAAGGCCTTGGAGGAAACAGGGAGATGTTCAAAGGGTACAAACTTACAGTTGTAAGATGAATAAGTTCTGGGAAATCTAATGTACAGCATGGTGATTATAGTTAATAATACCGTATTACATACTTGAAAGTTGCTAAGAGAGTGGATCTTAAATGTTCTCATCACAAAAAAGAAATGGTAATTAGGAGACAAGATGGAGGTGTTAGCTAATGGTATGGTGGTAATCATTTTGCAATATAGAAATATATCCAATCAACGCATGTACACCCTAAACGTACACAATGTTATCTGTCAATTAAGTCTCAATAAAGCTAAGAGGGAGGAGGCCTTAGAAATTACTCTTGGGGATGGGACGCTTGGGTGGCACAGTTGGTTAAGCATCTGACTCTTGGTTCAGCTCAGGTCATGATCTCAGGGTCATGAGATGGAGCCCCATGTTGGCTCTTCACTCAGCACAGAGTCTGCTTGAGATTCTCTCTCCCTCTCCCTTTGCCCCTCTCACTCATGCTCTCTCTCTCTCTTAAATAAATAAATCTTAAAAAGAAATTACTCTTAAGGCAAACTCTGACCCTCAGGTGACAGAAGCCCCCCTTCCCAAGAATATCAGCTGGTAGATATCTATCTTGGTAGAAAAGGCTCAGGAAGGAAGGAAGGAAGGAAGAAAGAAGGAAAGAAAAAAAAGAAAGGGGGGAAAAAAAGGATTTTACCATCAATACCAGGTTGTCTAAAGAGGGCTCAGCATCTCTGGCTGGATAGACTCTTCTTCGTCTTTCTTCATGGGGACACATCACTGCTGTCCTCCAAAATGGGAACTTCAGAGGACCCGAGGATATTCAAACCAAGGCTACCATACTCTTTTCTTCCACCTAGAGATACATCCCTGAACTAATTTTGCATACTCAGATATCCCTCCCACCTGCCCCAGCTCCTTCCCCAAAAAGCATAATGCTGAAAGATGTTAACAGCAGGCTTTGTTCATCAATGGCTAGGAGCCTCAGCCAGGGACAGGCTGTCCCCATGACACACACCCATTGTGTTCAATTGCTTTCTATTCCCATTTTGGGGAATAGAACATCTTCCATTTTTCATGCCATTTGACCTGTGGAAGTCTTACCTTTTCAATTGTTCCATTACACTGGGACATACCTGGATTCATTCAGCATCTGCACACTTTCTGGGTACCTGTTATGAACTTAGCATAGCATAATCAGAGGCAGCTTCAGGGGGCCGTGGGCATCCATCACAGCAAAAGGCAGTGGTGTGCTCTTGAAAGGAACACCAGCGCCAGAGAAGGTGAAAAATGGAGGGTTTAAGGTGAGATACAGGGCTGCAAACCAGGTCCGGGGAGCCCAGCGTCAGCCCTGCAGCCCCAGGCATGAGCATCACTGAGGCTACCATGTGCTCACACTGCTCTCACATACTTCTGTGAATCACACTAGGGTCATTTACAGGCTGTCATGTGTGGTCACTTCATCACCCCACCCTTCTCATTTCCTGAATCTTGCAAGATTGCCTGAGTCCCGCAGAACCACCTCAGTCTCACTCCCACCAGCCGTCGGAAGAGGAGCTCCCACAGGCTCCCGTTGGCCCCTTCCTCCAGTGCCCTCCTCGGAGCTATCCCCAGACTTGGAGATAGATTACAGGGCTCCCAGCAGGCTCCCCATGGATCTGCCTTATTACCACGGCCCTCTGTCCAAGAGAGACTGTGAGACCCTGCTGCTGGAGGACGGGATAGACGGCAACTTTCTGATAAGGGACAGCGAGTCTATGCCCGGAGTTCTGTGCCTCTGTGTCTCGTGAGTAGTCTCACCTTCTATACATCTGGACCCCTACCCTGAGTGTGGTCCTGATAGCCCAATGCAAAAGAAGTTGTTTTTCACTCTGACCTTGCAGCCCCAATGAGCAGAATGAGATACAGCGAGGCAGCACTTGATGGGCGTGCAAGGAGTGTGTCTGTCCCAGCGCCACCTGCTCACCCCAGCAGGACCCTCTGCAGAAGCAGGCAGGGGGTGGGGGTGGGTGGCAGCAAAGGGAAGGGCTGCAGGAAGCATGGAGGTGCCTGGGAGAGAGGCCCTTTCCTGGACAGGTTGGCTTAGTTGCTATGGAAGAGGCTAGATGTCCTTTATGAAATTGTAATCCGAGGGACTAAGTGTTCACATATATTCCGCCGGACTACTTAAAGTATGATTTCAAATTCTTTTAGGTTTGTAAAGAGCTTCAACATGCATCATTTCCTTTCATCCTCCTTAGAGCCTATCAAGGCCAGCATAAGCATTTTCTAGATGAAGAAACAGATACCTGGATTTCTCGAATGACTTGCTTGTGTTAAAATGCATCTGGCATTTCCAGAGAGTTCAGTGTGAAGTTCTAGCAGCAACTCTGCTGAAGGAGCTTGTTTAGACCCGGTTAGAAAACAATCCTGGGGGGCGCCTGGGGGGCTCAGTCGGTTAAGCATCTGCCTTCGGCTCAGGTCATGATCCCGGGGTCCTGGGATCCACCAGCATCCGGCATCCGGCTCCCTGCTCAGCGAGGAGTCTGCTTCTCCCTCTCCCTCTGCTCCTTCCCCCACTCATGTGCTCTCTCTCTCTCTCAAATAAATAAATAAATAAAATCTTAAAAAAAAGAAGGAAAACAATCCTGAACAGGTATCAGTGAGAACCTACTATCTTTAAATGTTCTGTTTGGAGAGATCACTGAAGTTTTTCTTCTACCTGCTAGTGGAATTAAAACCCAAGTGTGTCTCTGGATATGCTTCAGTGCTTCTGAGAGTGAGGACAAAAAGGACTGTCGTGACTAACAGAATAGGCAGAGATCTCTTTGCTTCATTGTATGATACCAGAGATGCAGGTAAAAGAAAGATAGCCTGAAGGGGTTAGCAGTTGGAATTTTCACGTTACCAGTGATGACGGGGCTGGGGTGGGAGGGGGGGAGCGGGGTCGGTTCATATCATTTTAGCTGTTGGTAATTCTTCTTTTGAGAGTTGCACAGTCACATTCTTTACCCATTTTTAGCTTGAGTTGTTTGTCTTCTGTTCCCTTTCCCCCCCCCAGTTTCTGTGTATGAAGGTAAAACATTTCTTTTTCCAAAAAGGACACATGCGCAAAAGAAAACTATAGACCAATTTCAATTTCAATTAATATCCATTTTCAAGAAACTACTAACAAAACAGAAGCCAGTAACATTAAAGAAGAAAATATACTATGCTCAATTCGGTCTATTCCAAGAAGTCAAGGATGGTTCCAAGTTGGGTAAATTAGTAGTTTAATTACATATTAGTAGGTCAAAGTTGACGAACTGCATAACTCGCTCAAATTTGCTTAAAAGGTGTTAGATAAAATTCAACGTCCATCCCTCAATTAAATACACACACACACACACACACACGTATGCATGCCCTTACACACTCTTAGCCATACAAAGCTAGATAGATACTTTCTTAACCAAAGGCCAGGTGAAGCATAGGAGAATCGCTGCTAAAATCATGAATGAGCCGATGATGCCCATTACCAGCACTACTAGGGAGCATTTTTCAGGAGATATGAGCAAGTGTAATTAGCCAAAGGAAATAAAGGTAAAAATTGAAAAGGAAGATGCAAAATTATTATTATTTGCAGTAGACATGATTTTATGCCTATGAAATCTAAGATTTAATTGAAAAAAACCTAAAAAGTAAATTTAAGAAAAGTCGATTAACAGTATCTGCTTGTAAAATTGAAATTAAAATCAATAGCTTTTTCATTAAAAAAAAAAAAAGTAACCCGTAAGAAAATATAATAAAACAGGTCATTTACATTAGCAAAAAAAGTAATAATACTCAGAAATAAATGTGCTATGAAATGTGTAAGGTTTGTATGAAGAAAACTTTAGTAACCTACTGGGGAACTCACTAGAAGAGGTACATGAAATTAGGGACTCAATTTGGAAGCATATCAGTTTACCACAATTAATCTATAAATTTGGTATGTTTCCAGTAAAAAAATTAACAGAACTTTTTAAGTTTTCTTCAAGGATCATAAAGTTTATTCAGGTGGGACATGGAGCACAAGGAACCTGCTAGAATAGCCAAAAATATTTTTTATTTAAAAAAAAGGGGACCAAGGGCACCTAGCTGGCATGTGACTCTTGATCTGGGGCCTTCTAGGTTGGAGCCCCACAAGACGTGTGGAAATTACTTAAAAATAAAATCTTAGGGACACCCAGGTGGCTCAGTTGTTTAAGCATCTGCCTTCGGCTCAGGTCATGATCCTGGAGTCCCGGGATCGAGTCCCGCATCAGGCTCCCTGCTCGGCAGGGAGTCTGCTTCTCCCTCTGACCCTCCTCCCTCTCATGCTCTCTCTATCTCATTCTCTCTCTCAAATAAATAAATAAAATCTTTAAAAAAAAAAAAACTTAAAAAAAGGAGTTTGGTGCTGACAGATCAATGGAATAGAATACAGAGTCTGGTAGAAATAAGGCAAAATACATTGGAATTTAGCATATGATTAAAAGCATATTTCACATCAATGATCATGAACAACCATGAATGGTGTTGGGGTGCTTGACTGATCCTTTCAAAAAAATACACCTGAATTACTTTCTTCTTGAAGTAAAATTAATTCAAACTGGTTCTAATGCATAAGTTATTTTTTTTAAACATGAAACCACACGTACTAAGAAGAAATGATGAACTTTTAAAATATATACCTGGGGTTGAGAAGGGCCTTTCTAAGCAGGATGTAAAGCCCAGAAGCCAAAAAAGAAAAGTCTGATGAATCTGACCACTATTAAAAAAAAAACTGCTGGTAAAAACAACTTAAAAGACTATCAGCAAACTGACAGGACGAGTGAACCTCATAAACAAATAAGTGATTTTAAAAATCAATATAAAACTAGGTAAAGGGAAAGAGAAGGAGATTCTTGGAAACAGAAATGTGAAAAAGAAGGAAGGAAAAATGCTAGATCTCACTCATAACTAAAGAAATAGAAACTGGAAGAATAATGAGATACCATTTTTACCTGTTCAATAGGCAAGAATTAAAACTATGGAAATACTCAGACGAAGTTAGGGTGCCAGGAAGCAGATGCCCTCATACAGGTGAACACAGTCTCTTCGCGTGGTAATGTGGCCCAAACATAAAATGCATGGATGTAACCTTTGACCCCAAATTCACTTATTAGTGAATAAATAAACCTACCTTGGCTGGCTCAGTTGGTAGAGTGTGTGACTCTTGACCTTGGGGTTGTGAGTTCGAGCCCCCATTGGGTGTAGAGATTAGTGCGTTGTTTTTTTTTAAGATTTTATTTATTTATTTGACACAGAGAGAGAGCACAAGCAGGGGAAGTGGCAGAGGGAGAGGGTAGAAGCAGACTCCACGCTGAGCAGGGAGCTCAACATGGGACTCTGGGATCATGACCTGAGCCGAAGGCAGACACTTAACCGACTGAACCATCCAGGCATCCCAAGTGTAGAGATTACTTTAAAAAAATCTTTTTTTAAGACACCTGTCTTATATGACCTAATAATAGCCTACCTTATCTTACTTATGACAGCATGAGTGTGTGCAAATTGATTAATAAGAATGGGTAAATCCATATATCGTATGAAAAAAACTCCAATATCTATGGTAAGAAAAAGGCAAGATGCAAAGCATGATCCCATTTGTTTAAAAAAAAAGTACGTCTGGGTCTTTGTATATTCCTATACAATTCTAGGAGGTATATAAGTAAGAAACTTGTAATAGCTGGGAAATTGAGAAAGAGTGACTTGGGGAAATTTATTCGATAACTTTGCACTGTTTAAATGTTTTATATGTGCATGTATGACTTTTGTAATGAAAAAAAGTGTATAAAAAAGTAGTGAATCCCTGCTATCTATTCAAAGACTGTGCTAGGCACAGGGGGATTCCAATAGGGAACCTGCAATTTTTTTTCAAGGAGATCCAAAGCATGTAAATAAATTAGAAAAGGGTGAAGTATAAATTTAAGAAGAGACAGTTTTATGCAAACTGAAGGGCCAAAAATATGAGCAGGAGAGTGTTCTTAGAGGAGATGGTATTTGAGCTGGGACCTGGAAGAGTGGTAAGATTTGATTACACAGAAATGGAAATGAATAATAGAACCTTTATGTATTCATTCAACACTGGGAAGCATGTTAGGGAGGGAAGGGGGCAGGAATAGAGGTCTAGAGGCAGGATGTTTTAAAGCACACATGAATCATACAGGGTTCCTGAAAGGTAGCTTGGAAACCAGCTTTTGAAAAAGTAGGTTTGGGATAATATTATGGGGTCTGAGAAGGATGAGTCCATAGATAGCAGGGAGATGTAGATGGTTTCTAAGCAGGCAAGTGACAAGACTGGAACCCTCCAACTCCCAACTGGAGTGTTAGGAATTCCAATCTGATATATGGAGGATGCACCAAAGCTGTCGGATGATGGCGATTGAGACCATTGTGTCTCCAGATGGGAGATGGTGAGGAATTAGCGATGTGGGAGCAAGTAGTGTGAATGGGAAAAGAAGGTGCAAGGGATGTCATAGAGACAGGAGACCTTGATCCAGACCTCAGTGTAGGTAGTCTCTACTGGGATTCTCTTTAAAAATCAACATTTATTTTTAACTGTTTTGTGGAGTATCAACCCAGCTTGTGTGTTCTTCTAAAGTGAAAGTCACTAAGGAATGTGAAACATAATAATAAAATCCAATGAAGAGGGAAGAATACATATTTGGGGGGCATCTGCCCATAATCAGGCCTCACCCTCTTCCCTGCCCACATCCCTGAAAGGCAGACACATTTCAGGTACCCTCAGGCTCAAGGCTCAGG